ACTAGGACAGGGACTGGGGTGTAGCTCAGTAGTAGAGCACTTGCCTAGCATGTGCAAGGTCCTGGGTTCAACCCCCAGAACTGGAAAAAAAGTAATAATAATAATAATAATAATGATTCAATAGGAAGCAGCATGATGGTGTATAAATAGCTACCTATAAGGAAGTACGTAGAATCCAGGCCCAGTAAGCAACTAACTTTCTGTATTCTTAGGCTAGTCCCTTACCTTCTCTGTCTCACCTATAAAATGAACAGGGACAATAAGTCTTCTCTAAAATCCCTTCCAGCTCTACTATTCTGTGATCCTGGAGTAGATATGAAAGTCCAAAAGAAGTTTCTCTATGGGAGAAAGAAATCCACCAGCAACTGCAAAGTGCTATTTGAATCTGGGACATGTGGCTTTCTGTATGGTCTTGGATAGAAATATATGTAAAATAATGCTGTGGAGTGGGGAGTGGGAACACAGGACTCCAGAAAGGCATGTTCCACTCGGCTGATGGAACCTTCCTGCAGCTCTGATAAGGCTGTCTGCTAACTTTAGGAAGGCCTGCCAAACCTGACAGCTACTTATGAAATAATTCGCCTTGGACTATGTAAAAGCTCATGGTGGAAACTGCAATCACACACACATCCTGTTTGCATTTCTTGGGGTACTGTTGACTGTTCCCTCGTGGCCCTGCTTGGGGTGGGTGGCTCCTCCCTAACCACAGAGGCAGCCAGCTGAGGGTTTGCCTCCTCCCTCTGTGATCCTGCCAAAAGCAGTGGCTACCCCTGAGAGAAGCAGGACCAGGAGAACCAATGTGGATGGCCATTCTGTAACTGTGCGTGGGAGTCTGGGCCCCCTGGAAGACTCAAGGAGTGGTGCCAATGGTGTCCAGAATATGCAGATCTGTATTCACAGATGTAGAAAAGAAGTGAAGGGAAAATTGCTGAAAACTCAGACATTGGAAGGGCATCCCTTCCACACAGGGCTGGAGAAGTGGTGCTTTTCAAGCATCTTATTTAAGCTGGTGAATCACATCTCAAACATCACATCCATTAAAATCAGAGTCTCACTGGGCCCAGCACCACGCTAGGGCTGAGTACGTGTTATCCGTCTCATTTTACCTTCTCATTTGCTTTATAATCACAGTGGGTATAGCTATTCTCATTTTGCAAATGAAGAAAGTGGGGCTCAGAGAACCTCAGTGACTTGCCCAAGGTCAGAAAACTCCTCCTTGGAGCCAGCACCTGTGAGTGCAAAGGCCTAGGCTCTCCAATGGGTCCTCAGATGCATCTGTAAATACAGTACCCCTCACTCAGCTCAGGACAGGAAGTTTTGCATGTGGGAGGGAGAGAGAAATTCTCTAGCATATGCCCAATCTTTGGGCTCAGGACTGAGGGAAGGTTGGAGACAGTTTTGTGACTGATCACACAGTAAGAGATGGAAGGGGCCACAGAGTTCATCAAGGCCAGATGTTGTCCAAAGAAAAGGGACAGGGAGAGGAAAAGAGGGTGTCAGGGCTTGTATATTGGAAGGAACTCCAGCTCTCCAGGGGAAAGAGTCCTGTCTGATCTCATGCTTCTACACATGGAGAAATTGGCCCAGAAAGGAGAGGGAGCCTGCCCAACAAAGATGTACTCTACCCAGGGCATGAGTTCCTTACATATAGTAGTATGCACTTGAACTGAGCCCCTGAATTGGCAGACTTGGACACCCCCAGCCAGAAATGGCAAGAAAGTGCTCATGGTTTTCTTTTCCTGTCTTGATAAAAATATTGCCATTTTTAATACTGTTGCAAAACAAGAGAACAATAACTTCCCCCTGAGATTCCCAGCGCCTCCCCATACTTCTGGTGCCTTTATCAATCCTAACAGTGTAAAAGTTTATGCCACTCTGGAAAGTTAATGAAGGACAAGCGTTCTCCCAGAGCATGGGGAGGCATTAGGCCCTGAAGCCCCAGAACCTAAATCAGGACAGGAGACAGGAGAGGAAAGGGGGAGGGCGGGAGTTGGCTTGGTGGGGGTGGCCAGCTGCCCACACAATTGGTCCCAGACCAGCTGCAAAGGGGTCATTTCCCTTTCTTCACTTTTGCTAGGGAGGATTGTGTTCAGGACTTGGGGGGACATGGGAGTTGTTTTCTGGAAGAGCACAAGGCAGCTGTGCACACCTAGGAAGTCCCAAGCAAAGGGGAGGGTGGGTATGGGTGGCAACCTAGGGCCATGCCCCTAAGAGCCCTGGAGGGGGAGGCAAGCAGAGCTGCTATGGTCCCTTTCCCGGACCTGGCCAGGGCCAACCAGAAGATAGAGAATCTGATGCTAAGATTGAGAAAGCCTTGGCTTTAATCAGGTGGATCTGTATTCAAATCTCCCTTCTGTGGCTGAAAGGCTGCTGGGCACACTGGGCAAGCTCCTGGGCCTCTCTGAGGCTGCTTCCTCTGTATAACCACAAATGGTTTAGCATGTGCCAGGTACAGGAGCTACTGGCTAGAAGCAAGAGTGAGGAAAGCATCCCTGGGAAAGAGCTATTAACCAAATGATCAAGGCAAATCCACATAGCCTTGCTAAAAGGGGATAATAATAGCACCTACTCCCAGAGGAGATGTGTGGCAAGGATTAAACAAGTGAGTGTATTTAAGCACAGAGAAGCCTTCAGAAATGCCAGCTCTTATTATACCAGCTTTCCCATGGCAGCTCGTGGAGTGAAAACACTGGAACAATATATTTGTCCAGTAACTTTAGATTTTAAAAGCATTTTCTACACACATTAGCTCATCCAGTCTTCCCAAAATAGCCCTGGGAGGTAGGTGCCTTAATTTCTCCCATTTCTTGTGAGGAGAGCCCGGAGAGGTTAAGTAACTTCCTCAAAGTCTCCAGCAAGAAGACCAGGATTGAAACCTCTGCGCAAGTCCTCTGGACTATTGGCTACCCGCAGCTGTGACAAGGAAAGGCTCTGGGCACTGTGAACCCCGGGACAGGAGGTTGTGGAACTAGACACCAGGAGTCAGGGCGGGGGAGGGGAGGGGGGGTGTTCCTGGCCTCACTTTAGCGTCCACGGGCCGGG